GGCTCTTCGCAAACATTGCCGCGCCAGGAAGAAGAAACACCTTGAAGCTCTCATTGCTGACGCACAGGCTGGCAAGCACTGCCTGACGGCCTTACATAACATCCTGAAGAGATTTGCGCCTAAAACCCGGCCCAAACGCATCCAACTTCGGACCTCCAGCGGCGACATTCAATCGCCGTCAGCTGAGCTAGCTCAGATCCTCTCGCATTTCCGCGTTGTCTACGACTCGCCGACAACCCAACCATCACCTAGAGCTGTTTTGTCTCCGATCACCTTTTCCATCACAGAGATAACTAATGCTTTTCTGCATCTCCCACGGAAGGCTCTCCCATCACATTATCCTCCAGCTCCGCTCTGGCAAGCAGCCGCCCCCTTAGCTGCTAGTGTCTTTCACGAATGTCTGCATCAAGCGTTTAAGTCTGAGCGCCTTTATCTACCAGACACATGGCATAGAATCCAGGTGGCACTCATCCCTAAACCCTCTAAGCCCCTAAACTGCCCGGGTTCGCTTAGACCCATTTCCCTACTGCCGCCGATGGCAAAAGTCCTGGCGAAACTTCTCGCCTCCCGCATTCGTCCTTTTGCGCAGGAAGCTGCCTCCAAACTTCCGCAATATGCCTACCTCCCACAGAGGCAAACGCTCGACGCTCTCGATCGCGCTTTCTCCCATTGCCACTCGGTGCGACTTAAGCGACAGACAGGCTACATTACCACGAGGGATCGCTACGAAGGCAAAATAACAAGGCAGTGTGAAGGGGGCATAACCTTCTCACTTGATCTTCAGAGAGCTTTCGATAGCATCCCCTGGAGTTCACTAGAAACCAGTCTGCAAGACGCTGGTGTTCCTCGCTCGCTTGTACACCTCATAATGTACTTGCACGAACGAGCCACGTATGTCTTTCGCACCTCGCACTCGCAAGGCTCTATTTTCGCGGGACAGGGCATCAGGCAAGGCTGCGGTCTGGCTCCACTAGTATGGACCATTTACTCCCTGAAAATCCTTAAGAGCATGGCATCCATCGCCCCAAACTCGCAGCGGACGCTCTTTGCAGACGACTTTCTCTTCCAATGGAGCATAAGCTCGCCACAGGACTTCCTGAAAATCCCACACCAAATTGCTGGAATCATCCAGACCCTGAATAGGCAAGGGATGTTTTTAAGTCCGGGTAAATCGGTCATCCTGTACAGCTTGTGGGGAGGACAAGTGCCCAAGCTGCTCAAACCCCTAGTTAGGCTGCACCCCACCCTAGGTCGTTGCTTTCGTGTGCCCCTTCATGACTATAAACAGGCTGTCTCACTCCCGGTTGTGAGCACCCATGTTTATCTTGGCATGGTTCTCTCCTATAAAAATTTCGAGATGCACAGCCTACGGCACAGAACTAGACAGTCCTGGATTGCTTTTAACAGAGTCAAGCACATACTCTGCAACAGAACGCTCAGCCTGCACTTGCGGCTACAGCTATATAAAGCACTGTGCCTCTCCATTCTCCGATATGGGCTTCCCAGCTGTGGGCTGACTGCTCTAGGGCGTGACAAATTCACCACCACTGTGCTGCGTCAAACACGCATGGTGGTTCGCAACCACTCCTACTTTACTGGACTTTCCAATGCAGACTTTCTCCAGCGATTCAAGTTGGAAGAGCCTCTCACAAGCTTCCATGGTATTCTCCTTAACAGGTTAAGAGGCATTGAGCACAAACCTGTAGCCCAGACCCACCCTCCTGAGGTCTGTGCCTGGTGGCAGCACCTTCGCTCCACTGTGGAGGCTCCGTCGGAGACTCCGGTGGATGAGAGGCAGTTAAGGCACAGGCGGGACACCCATCAATCTGAACCGTGTACTGTCTGCGGGGCTGTTTTTGTCAACGAGGCCGCGCTGCGCTTTCACATCACCAAGATGCATGTCCAACCGGACAAAAACACCCAAAAGGCCTTGAAGGCAGCGCTTCGTGTTCGCAAGGATGAACACATGCTGCATGCGCACGGCGGATTGCCGACCTGCAGGCACTGCAGACACAAGTTTTCGTCCTGGCCTCAGTTCATGAGCCACTTTAATCGGCAATGCTGCCCAGTTCTGCACCTTCAGCAAGCCTCTCAGTTTCCCCCGCTTCCCCCAGACCCGGCGCCGCTGATTCAACAAGCTGAACTGCTTTCTTTGGCCGCGACTTACACCTGGCAAGAGCTCGCTGCAGAAGTCCAAAAGTTTGGCAGGCTCCTGCACTGTCCGCTATGCAATCTTTGGATGGCGCAAACTGGCCAACTGGTGAAGCACATGCAAGCCCAGCACAATGACTTTTCCACCGCCATTTCTCTCATTCAGCAGTTCCTTCTTGAGTGTAAAGGTATTACCAAGCCTTGCCGCTTTTGCTCTACTAGTCATCACAAGGCCGCGGTGGGTTGTCCGGTTCTCTTTAGAGTTGCCCTTCTCTTGAATCACCACAACAGACTGCGACACACCCTTCAGGCTTCACAGCATGGAGGACGTCGGCCGGGACGAGCTAATCCGAGGACAGCAGGAGCTTGCGTTGTTCAACTCGATGATGCCAGCGCCGGGAGCCGCAATTCCCCCTTCGCAGGGAACCGGTCTGCGGAGACAACGAGATCGCAACGACGAAAGCCCACATGTCATCCGCAAGGCCTTCCGACCCAAAGGGAAGGGCCCGTCATATCCACAGGACAGACGAACCTCCGCCAGTTTCTTGGAGGACTCAAGCAGCAGCGATGCTCAGTTGGAAGTAGTGAAGATGATGGCCAGGCTCAGCGTACGCCAGGCCGACCAGCTGAGCATCCTGAAGTTAGACACGACCTATGTCTTGTTCCTCAAGACGCAAGGAGCAATGTCGATTACGAAGGATCTATGGGCAATGGGGAATCGGTGGCACGAACAGAAAGAACAAACTCCACAGGACATCACGATGCCGCTTCGCAACACCTTATTCTCCTGCCTTCTGCGCTCGCTGGATCTACGACTCCAGGCACTGCAAGAGAAGGAGGATGCCCGGGTGCAAGCCAGGAGCTTGCACTTGCTTCAGGACCGGGAGGATCACGTGTTGGCATTCAACTATATGCAATGGGACTCGCAGACCAGGCAGTACCTTGTGAAGAAGGACAGGGAGCCTCTTGCCCTGACCGAACTGAGGAGGGACATTGCCACCATGCAAGCCAATCTGGCCCATCCTCGGGTCGTCAACCGTTTTCACGCCATGAGGAAGCTTACGGAAGACCTGAGTGGGGACGTCCTGCCGATGCACTTGGAGATCGGACTTCGCAGCCAAGTTGCCCATCAGGTCTTCGACTGCCTGGACAAATGGTGTCACAGCGGCGCCTTTCACTTGATCTCAGCCACCCTTCGCCACGAACGCCTAGGCAGAGACGGTCTGGTCTCTTCGTTGGTGAAAGCTGTGGATCGTCTGTGAAGCCTGCCGTCAGTCGGAAGCTGAAACTCCTTAATACAGCCAATTTCTGTTACATAAACAGTTGCCTACATGCCCTTTTGCACTTGCAATCTCTCTGCCCACCTGCAGCCGATTTTGTAAGGCCAGACTTTCAGAAAATCTTGAAATGGCTGGCTACTCAGAAAGAAGTCCATGTTTGGCGCACCCTGGGTTTTCAGCAATTGCTTCATGGCTGGCCCAGGCCACTTGAGCAACATGACGTTGCAGAACTACTTCTGCACATGAAGGACGGTGACCTGCTGGCTGCCGGCTGCTTCACTGGCAGCTGGCAAGCCAGACGCATGGAACATACTCTTCAAGTGCTTGACGGAGGACACGTCAGTCCCCTCTTCATCGACGCTCCACTTGGAGCAGTCTCGACCTCAGGAGTGGCTGCCTCTGCAGCCACTGCATCACCCTCTGCTGCAGATGCCCGCCGTTGCACCCTGCAGACGCTTGTAGATGCCTGGGCTTCTCAGGCCCATCCGCATGCGCTGTGTGAGCTGCCAGAAGTCTTGATGCTACAGATCAATCGGTTCTGGGACCCTGCTTTCCCGCAGCATAAGAATTCACAACCCGTAAGCGCTGGCTGCACTGTCTCCTTGCCCCACTTCCTGCAACCAGACAGTCTTCAGACCTCCCTGGCCAGATATCAGGTTCGAGCGATCTTGTTGCATCAAGGAGCATCCAATGCCTCCGGACACTATCGTGCTCTGACGCTGTCACCTGAAGGTGTAGCGTGGTTGCACGACGATGGTGCTTCAGCTGTGAACGTTACAATCAAACAGAGAGCCGAATTAGACAAGCAATCATATGTTTTCTTCTGCACGCTGATAGAGGCCTCTCTCTCTCCGTAGAGTGTCACTTCAAGTGTTGGACTCATCAGTTGATAGAACTGTACAGATTTTGCTAGTATTCTGCTGTCTTCTGCACTGCTCATGGGGCGCTCGCGCCGGGTGCAGTACAGGGGTAGCCTCCGCTTCATCACGAAGCCGCATGCACAGTCATGCACCTGACACGCTATGCAAAGCACTCCTTTGCCGCGTCGGAAGAAGAAGAAGGGGGGGGGAGGGAGGGGGGCAGGAGGGGCGCGAGGAGAGGGGGGGAGGTGACCCTCGCCTTGAGCCGCCGGAGCTCTCAACCCTTAGGGAAGCAAAGCCCTGAGTCTAACCAACTACTCATTCCCGTCTTCCCGCAACACGAGGACTCCATGCTCCCAGCAGGCTTGTGTTTTTTGGAGGAAAATCTAGAGGAAAGGCAATAGCTACCGACAAACATGACAAAGGAAGAAAATCCATCAAAAACAGTAGGACTGACAAGCGTTCGAGAAAGGAATGGAGATAGAATTATACCAACACATGTCACTCCCGGGACGAAAAGACAGTTTCCGTTGGATCTCCCAAAAGCCTCCCCTGCAGAACACTTAAACGCAAACATCTTCGTGTTTATTCTCAACGCTTCCCAGAAAGCTTCCTGACCTTGCATGTTCTATGTGTCTACGGGGCTCTATATCATATATCCTATCAACTCGGGATTCACGGCTAGACATTTCAACTTGTGGATGTCCTTCTATAATGCAAGGGAAGCGTGGACATGCGCATCCAGAACAACTAAAGCTTCTGCTCGAGCTTTCCTGGAGTGGATAAGAGCTGGGGGAATTTCAAAAAGCGCCAGCAGGCACATGCCTCTGTCAGCTGGCTCTTGCTGAAGGATAATGCAATGCTTGAGCTCGGAAAGTGAGTGCGTAAGCATGTATCGTTCCTGCCCTTCTCCCCCCCCTCCCCAGCATGTCGAGCTTTCTTGCGAACTGAATATTACGCTGCATCATGTATGCTTGCATTCTTGCACTAGTATGTCCTTGCCATAAACAAAGAAGTAGAAAGCCCCACGCAGGAGTAGCTTCTTCGAACTTCGTTGCGGGAAGCTCGGGCACCTTTCTGTAAATAGTTCCACCCTCTGTGCATCCTGAGCCCTCCCCTCCGTTGTTCCCTTCTGCCTGGTCTACGATCTTGAGCAGGTCCATCATGATCGTTATCTGATCCACGACGTCCACAACTGCCGCCTGCAAGGGGTCCCTCCAGCTCAATCCTACACCCCCTGACCCCACAAGCCGACACTTTTTGTCGGGTTGCCCTTACAGGGGTGCAATAAGAAGCAACGGGCCAGCAGCACCCCCATCCCTGCTGCTAGCAACAACCACCCTGAACCCTGAACCGCGGCGCCATCCCCTCCCTCCAGGCTTGTGAAAACCCGAAGCTCTCACTGCTACAACTCCTCGCGTGCCCTTCCAGAAAGTGCTCCTTTCCCACAAACTCCGAAGCCCTCTACCCCTCAATGATATCACAATATATAGAGCAAGAGGGAATACCCCAAATTAGAGTCCCTACTACAGGCTGTTCGTCTGAGGGGGGAAGCATCCCAAACATAAGAGATTAACATGAACCCCTAAACCCCAAACCCTAAACCCTAAACCCTAAACCCAAAGCCCTGAACCCTAAACCCTTATCACTCCAGGAGGGCCTGGAGGCTCGAAATGTCGTTCGGGCCGGCGTTGATGAGCCACTCCTCACCGCTTTGAGCTTGCCAGCACCCCCCAACGACCCTGTAACCATAATAGTAGCTTTGGGGTTTGGGGTTTGGGGTTTGGGGTTTGGAGTTTGGGGTTTGGGGTTTAGGGTTTAGGGTTCATAAGCCCCCGTTGTTGAATGGGGTTTTAGGGTTTAGGGTTTTCAGGGTTTGGAAACCCACAGGCCCAAACTCCTAGAGCAAAAAAAGCGCTGAGCCCAAAAACTACAAGCCCCGTCAGCTCTAAACCTCCAAACCCAAAATCAAAAGAAACCCTGCAAACACAAAAACCAAAAGACTGAAAACCGAGACCCCCTAAAACCCAGGACCCCTAATCCAATCCCTTACACACCCTAAACCCTCTTCAACCAAACCTCAAAAACTGTAGGGTTCGGGGGCCTCCCTAAAAACCCTGAAACCCCCAAACTCAGGGGCTTGCCTTTTGTTGTGGTCTCGGAGAAGTCCCCTAAGACAGCGTCCCAAAAGTGGCAGCTCTGCGCTTGGGGCGAACAGCTCAGGGTCCATTCTCCCGGGCTTGGAGTCGAAGAATTGTGGGCTGATACGGAGACCAACACTACCGTCACCAGGGTGGTCAAAAAGGACTACGATCCTCATCTGCCCCCAAAAAATCTGGAAGCTCGGAAGTTTCATGAAGCCCTATGGCTTCTAGGCGAACTTCACCCCTAAACCCTAGCCCCGGTCCTTGAGGCGGTCCCAGTAGATCTGAACCTCCGCCCACCTGGAGCCGGGACTCTTTCGCAGGGAGCCCTGCACCCTGAACCCACCCCCCTCAACCTCCTGAGCCTAAACCCTAAACCCTCCCCCCTCAACCCCAAGCATGAACCTCCAAGGGCCTTAGGGTCTGAAAAACCCCCTTGCCTTTGGAGCTTCGGAGTTTTCAGGGCTTTTGGGCGATGACCTCAGGGCTTATGAGGGCCGGACGGTTTTGTATCTTCCAGGCTTCAGGGTTTTGGGGCGTCGGGCCTAGGACCTAAACCCAGGGGAGCTTCAAACCGGGAAGACATACGTCATACCTGCAGACAACCAGCGCCTGCCAAAGGGTTTCGGGTTTAGGGCCGTCCTCTTTCAACAACTGGTGCCAAGAAACGCAAGGACCAAGGAACCGCAAGCCCCCCCACATCCCAAAACTCTGAGCTCTGAACCCAAAAACCCAAACATTGAATCCCATGCTACGAAGACCCGCCGAACAGCCCCAAAACCCTGTTCACAAGACCTGTTAGTCTAGACCCATTGTAACCCTGAACCCGAAATTGTCAGCACCAGGGCGCTGTTGGGAAAGGTCCGCCCTGGGCAGGAGTCAGTGCAAAAACAGGCGCCTAAAGCAGTACCACAGAACTGTTTCTTGTGGAATACTTATGGGAGGGGCCCCCAAACATACCAGTTCTGATATTGCATTCGCTTCCTACATCAGGTGCTGAAGTTTCAGGTGTAAGGTTTGGGGTTGGGATGTCCCTTATACTAACAGTCCTTTGTAGAGATTTATACCATCCCCTAATACAATCCCGATGAAGGACTGTTAGTATAAGGGGGAACATGAGGCCCTAAGACTCCCTCATGTTCTAAGATTCAGGGTCCAGGGTTTGCAGAACCTCCTCAGGCATGAAGGCATAACAGTCTAAGGATCCCCAGTATGGCCCCTTAATTCTGGGTCCCCTTGTCATATTGGTTTAGGGTTTTTAGGGTTTTTAGGGTTTTTAGGGTTTAGGGTTTAGGGTTTAGGGTTTAGGGTACACTCTGCATAATAAGGGCCCACACTTCGGATCCCTACTTGCAAGGACCATCCTGACCATCCTGAGGGGGGCGCATGGTTCCAAACTTGGAATCTGGCAAGTAGGAAGCTATGGGCCTAAGCCCTCCAGGCCCGGATTCATAGAAGTTGCAGGCAATTCAATACTCGCGAACCGTCGCAAAAAGGCATGAAAAGACAAGATTCTCAATGTGCTGACCCTCCTGCAAGAATCCCTTCCAAGAGCCCAAGAGGCTTCAAATGACAGCAGGCCTTCAGGCCTTGAAGGCCCCCCCCCTGAAACCCTAAACCAGAAAGTCGCCAAAAGGCAGCCGCCCCCAAAAAAACAACCTCCCAAAAACAAACTCCGGACACAAAGTCTCAGCGAAAGCAAAAAAACAAAAGCCGACAGCAACTTCTATAAACCCATAGAACCCCAACCATGCTTACAGCAATGTGGAGTCTGGAGCATGGGGCTGTGGCGGCCCTCATGGTTCAGCAAGGAGGAAGGTTTCGGGTTTCGGGCTTAGGGCATAAGGCTTCGAGCTTAGGGGCCCGAAGCTTTCAAAGACACCCACACGAAACCCCATCTCAACCCCGCAGCTTGGACCTCCGCTACCCTGAACCCCGCAACGCCTATGGGAAGAGCCAAAGCGCTCTCAAACCCGTCCTAGAAATCATGGGGGTCTTGGTGAGGAAGCCGAACCCCCTCGTGAACAAGGGGATTTAACCGCAATTTTAGTGTTTCATGGGAGCCCGGTACATGGAAAAAGCACCAAAGCAGCGCCTCTGTGCGGAGATCGCAGAAAGGCCGTTGCCCCCATTCTTGATCGTGTCCTACAGAGCTGGGCTCCGTGGGAATTTCGGGGCACTTGGGTTGCAGGCCCCTTTGGCGCCTGAGGCCATTTGAACTTAGGTTGTGGGGTCTTCGTATAAAGCTGAGACTTGGGTGGTGAGGGCTTGTTGAGGGGTCCCCGGCCTGAAATTTAGGGGCTTCTTGTGCATCTTCGAACTTTCTTTCCTTGGCCATTGTCCTTCAAGGGTCACATTCCAAGTCCGTGGCCTGCTCCCAACGCCGCCGTTCACCATTCTCTTTCTTGCCCGCTATACAAGCATAGTCAGCACGAACTAAGCAGTAGTTCAAAGCGCAAGTCAAGCTGGCCCTAAACCCCGTAACCGCCCTGAACTTCTCAACCTTCGGGGTTGCTAGGGCACTTAGGATTGAATCCTCCACCATCCTGGAGCTACCACGACGCCCGGCATGTCGGCTTTGCAGGGGCGGGAGACCAAGATTGCAAGAAGAAACGCGCCGAACCCTCCCTGGTAGAATCCACGCCTACAACGTGCGCAAAGCCCGTAGAATCATCGAAGCCTGCCTAATGCCCTCTTATGCTCTAGGCCGAAGGCCTGAAGCGTTTGAAACTGCGAGATCGTGTCGAAGACCGCGGCGTTGGAGCCCGTGACCCCGTAGATGAACATGATCGCCTCTCGCGCGGCCTGATGAGCTGCATAAGGTTCAGCTTTGGGATGTTCAATAAGGATTCTAGTAGGGGGCACCATAAATCCCGAAATCAAGGACTAATAGTGTAAGGGGGAACATCTCAAGGTTTAGGGTTGAAGGGTAGAGACTTGGTGAGTTGTTTGTTCAACACGTAAGCCGCTGGTCGGTGGCCGTCAGCACCGACGCTTTTCTCAAAGCAGTTTGTGAGGAAAGCGAAGGAACCCCTACTGTAGGCCTGCTCTGAATGACAATGTATCTATGGCTTGTGAATGAGGGTTCTCCATTGCTCCCTGTGTGTAGCAAGAGGACGTCCTATAAAGAAAGCATTTCCCAAATTCATCGTAGAGGAATTACGGTGAGTATCGAGAACCTCTGCTTGGGTTGGGACAGTGAAATACGCGTTGTGTAAGTCTACATGGGAGGGTCATAGAAAAGCTTTGTTTCACTGAGACAGAAGGCGGCCCAGTGAGTCTCTTGATCTACCTACTGCAGTAGCAGCAGTAGCTCTGAGAGTACATAAGCAGGAGAATCAGGTTGTTCGATGTAGGCCTCTTCAGTCTTTTGAACCCTCCCGCAACCCACACACACACCTACACACACTTACACACCTACACGCTTTCACAGTTACACGCTTACAAACTACATCCCGTCTCCTCCTTCTTTGCTGAGAGTGTGTGAGTGTAGTAGTACCTTTACAAGATTACCTGGGGGGGGGAAATTGTTTGATTTGGGGTCCTGAAGAGATTTCTCCAAAATCAATACCTTTACAAAGCAACGTCTTTACAAGATTTCCTTCGGCGGAAGACTGGGGATGGGAATTACTCTGTTACATGTCAGTCAGTCCAGGGAAAGCGAGAATACTGTCTGTGAGCAAATATCGGTTCGTTAGTTGCCATGACCCCCACAAACCTCACAACAGGACCCTTCAATGCAGATGTCTTCGGATTCGTTCTCAAATGCTTCTTAAAACGCTTCGCAACAGTTTTGTCTATGTGTCTGGGGGGCCATATCATATCAACAAGGCACTTCATGGTTAGAATTTGTAGTATGTCCTCCTATTATTTAGTTTATATTGGGATACGTGTGTGAGCTTTCCTGCCCGGGATGGAAGCGGAGCTTTGTTTGACCCAGACCAGCTCACCACCTGTATCATTTTGCTAGCTTCTACTGAGGCCAGGGAACCAACCCCAAGCCCGGAACCCTAGAATCCAGAGCCCAAAAACCAACATAGAGGCCTAGTTGCAACTCCAACGTGTATTCTGTATTGGCACGCCTGAATGGCTCCTGTATTCAACCACCCAACCCGAAACCATTAGCCCCAAGAACCTTCCAGCAGCATAGGGCCTTCTGGACCAGCATGATCTGCCGGCTTGCGGCGTCCAAACGTGCCCCAGGCAAGTCGGCAAAGGCCGCATTTGCCTTGTTGGTACAGTCAGGTTCCTCAGCCCGTAAACCCTAAATCTCAAAACCCTCAAACATTAAACCCTAAACCCTTAAACCCTTAAACCATTAAACCCTCAACCCTAAAACGCTTCACGGTGAGCACCCCAAGCTTTTGGGCATTTCGGGTTGAGGGGGTTCGGACCGGAGGGCTTGTGGGTTTAGAGGGTAGGCTTTGGGGTTTTGGGTTTGCATTCATCTGTGCTTCTGACGAGCGAAGAAACCCTGGGAAAGGAACTTCCAGTGAGGGAACCTAGGCCCCCCCCCCCTCCAACAGCCTCAGGAATTTGGGAGAGCTCTTGCGGGAGCCAAAAAAAGGGGAAATCTGTTGGGTGCTTCGGGGCTTCCAGGGCGTTAGGTTGCACGCGCCAAGCATGTCTCTCTGTAGATCTGCAAACCAACAATCTCAGAGCACCGTTTCTTCCTATTTCCGCTGCTCCAAGCGAGGATGTCGCACGGCACAATTGCGATCCATGCAGCTAGGAATGCACGGCCGAACCAAGTCAGTGCTTCCCAACTTTTACTTGGCACACTTTGCTTGCAAGATCGGTACCCAAATCACCTTCTCCTCAATCCCGGCCGACCCTGGGAATTATGAAGCAAAACCCCGCAGAATCATTGACGGAAGGCCCCCCCCCCTAGAGAGATTGAGAATGTGGCAATGCGAAGCAATTACTTAACTTTGTCTGAGCGTCTGAGCATCTTAGCGTCTTCGGGAAGAAAACAGCAGGAATAGAGGAGAAGAGGAAACGAGTAGAAGATGGAGAAAAAGCCGAGAAACCGAGCAGAGGAGAAGAGCAAGAAGAAGGCCAGACCCTTCCCCTCCCCTCCCCTCCCCTCCCCGCCCCCTCCCCCCCCCCCCCCCCCCACCCACCCTCCCCCCCCCCTCCCCCCCCTTCCCCCCCTTTCCCCCCCCTTTCCACCCCCCTTCCCCACCCTTCCACCCCCTTCCCCCCCCCTTTCCCCCCGCTCACCCTTGCCCCCCCCCCCCCCCCTACATCCCGCCGCTCCCCCCCGGTTCCCACCACTCCAATCGCAGAGGGTCTGTTTGGGAGCATCCTAAGCTTGGGATTTTGTGCCCCTCTAAGCCCCCTCAAGCCCCCTCACACCCCCTGGAACCGATGACGGCCTCGGCGATGTACAGGTCATTCAGCCGGTTCATCGCCTCGCGCTTTTGGCCCTAAACCATAAAGTCCCTAAACTCGCTAATACCTTCACCCCCCAGCAAGGGGGCTTATATACCCTGCTGTTATGGTTAAAGGGTAGTGCTGGCAAACCCTCAACCCAAATCAGGTCCCACCCCACCCCTCCCCCCTTTGGACAAGCGAAGAATGGCTTCTGGAAGAAGTACGTGATCAAACAATGTTCTCTTCTTGAAGATGTCAGGGTTTTAGTGCGCAGGGTTAGGCCCTACAACCCGAAACAGATATCACTCGATCTGAAACTTGGGATGCTCCCCCTCGTACTAACAGTCCTTAATTGGGATTGTAGTACCTTCGATAAAAAGACTCCTACCCCAAACCCTAAACCCTGAACCCTAGACCCTAGTAAGGACTGTCATTACAAGGGTGAACCTCCGAATCTGACACCCTCAACACAGCCAAGGCCAAGATCTTTCTTGGACTTCGGGGGAGACTAGGGAGGTTACAGTGGAGTTCGCGGCCCTGTTGTCGAGCTTAAGGGTTTAGGGTTTAGGGTTCAGGGTTTAGGTTTAGGGTTTAGGTTTAGGGTTTAGGGTTTTGGGTTTAGGGCTTAGGGCCTAAGGCTTAAAGCTTGGAGCTTAGGGTCTTGGGTCTAGGGTTTCGGGTTTAGGGTTTCGGGTTTGGGGTTTGGGGTTTGGGGTTTGGGGTTTAGGGTTTTGGGTTTTATGGCTGAGCTCTCAAGCAGCTCAGGACTTCTTTCTTCAGGAGGCCTTTTGCGGGTTCGGAAAACCTTCACGCCCCCAATTTCATGGCTCAGGGCTAACAGACCCATGCACGTTTTGGGAAACCCACATGGGGGTTTCCGAAATTCGGGGTACCTTATTGGGGTGCTCTTTATAAGGGGATCCTACTAGTTGGGGATCTATTCTGGGGGTCCCTTATTTTCGTAAAGCCCCATATCCAGGTCCTCCAGGACGTTCAAGCTTTGCACGGCCACGTCGTTGCCGTCACTTGCCTGAGAAGCTCAGCTTCTCCCGGGGTTTCAGGGTGCAGGGCTTCACTGCAGGACCTTCCCGGCTTCAAGTTTCAGGGTTTGGGTCTTAGGCACTCGAGGACTTCACAGGCTGCTGGAGACGTGTTCGGCCCCGTGATACTCTTCTTGAAAAGCATGTGTGGATATCATATGGGGAATGACATTAAAGTCCCTTCTGGGGCTAATTACTACATTGTAAGGCGGCCTAATATTTACCCCAAAAGGGGCCGCAATTTTGAAAACTCAGCATGTGGATCTGTGTTTTTTTGCGGCAGGAATGTGGGTTTGAGTCCCAGGCGGGCCACATCCGACTTGGGCTGTGAGTAGACTTACAGTTGGGGTTCAAAGTACCCATGAACGTCCAAGCAGTTGATGAGGGGTTAGGGTTTAGGGTTTGGGGTTCAGGGTGTCGGTGAAGGGGAAAGTGCGTGAATTGAGCAAGAAAAACACCCTAGACAGGCGATACACACAACACTCTGCCAGCGCAACCAACAACGACCATGAGACCCCTACATCCTCCCCCCTAGGTCCAGGGGGCGGGTCGGCTGGGGTGGTGCTTTTGAGGACTTGAGCTGCAGCCCTGCTTGGGTCTGCCCAGAACCCGAACCCTTAACCCTACCAAACGCCCTAGAACAGATCATGTGCCCGACTCTGGTTTTGAAAATGCAAAATCAACCCGGATGGCTCCAAACCTTGACGGCCCCAAAAGCATGAATATAGGGTACTTGGGTGCTTTGTAGTCTCAGTATGCAGGCATTCTAAAGGTTAAAGTCATTATTGATAAATTTGCAGGCTCCTGTAATAAAAAAGTAATACGCCTTCATACATGTCTGGTGTACGGATTAAGCCATTTCGGGCTTTACAGGCCTTAGGGCTTTTTTACTTGGGCTTGTGGGAGTTGTGGGCTTTTGCAGCAGGTCTCCGCGAGAGAAGCCGAAAACGCCGCGACGGGCGGCTCCACGTTGTTGAGAATCTCGGTTATGGCTTCGACTTAAACCCTACAAGATCTCTGTGGGCCTAAAGAACTTCCTCAGCCCTACGGCTTCTGAGGTTACCACGGGGCCCTCTCCAACCTACCTTCCGTCCATCCTTCCATGCATGCATGCATGCATGCGTATATACATACATACATACATACATACATACATACATACATACATACATACATACATACATACATACATACATACATACATACATACATACATACATACATACATACATACATACATACATATACACATACATATATGCATATATGCATATATGCATATATGCATATATGCATATATGCATATATGCATATATGCATATAGGCATATATACATATATACATGTGTACGTATATGCATATAGACATGTTGTGTACATATATACATATATACATATATACATTTGTGCATGTAAACATTAATACAAGTATACACTTATACTTTCATACATTCGTAAACTTTCATACATTCGTAAGTTTCTACATTTATACATGTGTATACATTTCTGCCTAGACACATAAGTACATATGAACATTCAAGCATACAGATATACAAATACACATAGACATGCACATACAAACATACGAACCTGTACACATAAACACATGGAATACATAGATACAACATAACTTGAGAATGTAACACACAGATAAGTTCACACACATACATGGTTCCGTGTCGTATCGGCAGTCCTGCCCCCACGATGGTATCCCCCTTCCCCACCCGCCCCTAAACCCAACGAAAACCCGAAACCTTAGGCCCTAAACCTAACCCTAAAACCCCAAAGCCCCAAAACCCTAAAACCTTAAAACCTTAAAACTTTAAAACTTTAAAACCATAAAACCCTAAACGAGCCCCTAACAACCCTTCAAAACCCTTCAATCTCCAGATTTCCAGATTGAATCTGGAGCGATACATCTTATACATTATACGTTGTGTGAGAAATGTTTTGACTGGTTACTAGATATTTAGTCACGTCGTACTTCACATAATGCATGATGTATACATACTGACTTTCCAAAACGGTGACATTGATGCATGCTTTGAGAAATATTGTCGATACATCTACATATGAACCATACACGCTCATTCTGCACAATACACTATGTCTTATGTCTTGACATACTATGTTCGAAACATCGTATTATGTATTGTATCGTGTGTTTCTGTCTAAAAAATATCAAAACTGTAAACATCTGTCGTTCTATACATACTTCAGTATGTATTGTATGTGGCATAATTGAGGTTGTGGATGATTTTTGCTTGCCGCTTATAGATTCTGGATTCTAGGTAGCTGGTGTATGTACAATGCGCTGTATCGCAGTCAATCGAATGTTGCTGCCGGTCTTTTCTTGGCAGGAAAGGCTAAGACCATGGGAAGGTGAGGACAGCTCTGACTCCCACATTCCCAACACCTTGAGGGTTTAGGGGTTTAGGGTTTAGGGTTTAGGGTTTAGGGTTTAGGGTTTAGGGGTTAGGGTTCCCTCACGGCCTGGTCCAAGATCCTCTGGGACGTCGGCGGGGGCAGCAGGTCCGAGCCAAAGGCCAAGCCTCGCATCATCTCCTCAACCTCGGGTCTCTAAGACGTAGTTTCAAGCCCTCTTCAAAAAAGCGGGGTTTTTTTAGAACCTCTTCTTTTCAAAAACCCTCTAAGGCTAGTTTGCCGGAGGGACTTGGACGACTTCGTTTCTGCAAAAGGACCCATGCCCATGCGAGCCCTTGCTCGTAGGGCATCAGACAGCTTTGAAGATTTGCTGCACGGACATTAAATCGGTTTTGCATGTTTCGAGTTCCCTGTGTCTGCCACCACATGTAGGCTGGAAGACGGTAAACGCAGCAGTTCTTCGCAAAGCTGCGGTCCGAAACCACCCTAAACAACCCTGAGTCCGAATAAGCACGTCAAGCTCCGAACCCCAAAGCCCCACCACCCCCCCCCTCACGATATTCAGCGTTGCTGGCAAAACGCCCTGTTCTTGGCATTCGTGACCCTTGCGGCCTCTGTCGGCCCACCTGCTCAGGAGCGAAACGTCACAAATTTAGAATTTCATGCGTTCCTACGATGCCGAGCCTTGTATTTAGGGCACAAACAAAAGGACCATGATTTAGACGAGCTGCCTAAATGGGCTAGTCAGACCCGGCGCGACTTCCTCATGCTAAAAACTAGTCTTCCCGCTTTGACCCAGAATCTCCCATCTCCTGCGAATCCGAAAGAGCATCCTGGGAGTGACCAATTTTTAGGATAGTCCTCCAGAATCCTTGGCAGAGTATCCCTGGCAGAGTATGCTGAACCCTGCGGTTGTGTTCCTGCTGCTCGTCGTCCCAAAGCACAGAAGCCCTTGAGCATGCTTTTAAGCACATGTTCACCTTAGATGCCGTGGCCCTACCAGACTGCTCAGACATCACAGACTTATGGTTTCTCCGCATTTGTGAGCCACGGCGGGGATTCCGAAGCCAGGAAAATGATCACTCCACTGGCTCACACCAGAAGGTTATGAGTCAACGAAGGGATACGGCCCGATTGCCGTGCACCATCCTCACCACCCAAACCGGCCCCCGAGTCCTACAGAGTCTTCGTCAGTAAATCAGGATACCATTCCAGCGAAGGTTGCCTGGAAGCTTGGTGCGAGAGCGCAGGCGCAGGATTTGAGAACCCTAGGTTGAGACATCAAGCGGACACCCGGCCAGCGGTGTGCCACAGAGTGCAACTCCTGCGTATCGCAATGTCAGGCGATTGAGGCCCTGAATGTGCCAACATCAACTCAACATCAGCAGCCGGGTTTTGGTGCAACTTGTTGTCGGGTTTCCCGTAGGCTGCCGAGCAACGCGACCCCACCCGGGCCATTCCAGGATTACGGGGCTCAAAGCCCAACCCACGGGGCTCAAAGGGTGTATGACATGCATGAATTGTGTGAACGAAGTGTGAGAAAATTGTATTATATTGGGGTATTGAAGGGGCTTTTATTGAACTCTCTTTCTATGCCCCTTTAACACACTAATGTTCGCTGGCTTTATTAACTTCGTATTTGGTCTTCAATTGCAATTAATACATGGGCGTTTAATAATTTAATCTACAAGAACAAGCCGGTGACATTGAGATCATGTATGCATTGTACCATCAATGCAGATTATACACGGAGGTGAGGCAAAAGATATAAATTAATTGTATTCACGCCCGTGAAACTTCGAGCTTCAAACAACTAAACCCTGAAACACAAACTCTCATAGGCTCTGGAGTTCTACATTCAGGCCTTGGGGGCCAGGGCCTGGGGTCTGGGTCTGGGGGTATTGGGCTTCGGGGCTCTAAAGTGCGGGACCCTCAAGGTCGACAACAGATTTTTGGGGGTTTAGGGTTTTTGGGGTTTAGGGCTCGTGTAGCGCTTAGGGTCGAGGTTTGCGTTCCGATGGGGATGGTGCATCGGCACGGATTTGGAAGAACACCTGCGCAATTTCGTCAACACATGATCACTGCAGGCATCACCTGGGTTCTACTACGAGTGCACACGCGAGAACAAGATGCAGAGCTGAGTGCCACAACATCAACAAGCCAACGAAGCTTCGAGGCCCCGCTGGGCCTTAGGGCATGTTGACCCCCCCCCCCCCCCAAAACCCTAAACGCCAGACCCTAAACCCTAGACCCCCCCAAAAAAAAAAGAGCCCGCCTGCCGAGGATGCGGTGAGGTAGACACTGGCAGCCTCCTGGCAACCAAGACAGCAAGTCTGGAAACCCTCAAAAAAGGGACCCCCCCCTGGAGGAGGTCATACAATCTCAAAGCAACACTCTTCAAGCCCCAGCAGAAAGGGGGCCGCACAACCCTCGGCTCCGTAAACCCGGACTCCCTCTTTGAACCCCCCTTTCAGCCCTAAACCCGAACCTCATGCCTGTAGACCTTAAAGCACAAACCCTTCGAAGCCTCAGATCATAAACCCTCAACCTACTACTGCCCGAAATGCCCGAAACCCCGAGGGTGAGCCTGGCTGTAGGCCCGCAGGTCGCCCACCGCTTGGATGACGTCCAGCCAGTCGTCGTAGGTCAGGCTTTGGTTCCTGCTCTAAGCTCGTTATCCTTTTTTAGGACGACCCCAAATACAAAGCTCCCTGCCGATAAGCTTTCATTGTCTCAGGCTACTTGCTTCATCTTGCCGTTGCGTGGTATAAAACGCCTCAACCCCGGGGAAATCTTTGCTCGAATTCTTTAGGGCGCTTTGATCCATAGCTCATTTTACTCGTTTCGGACAGAAGCGCTCAGCAACTTTGACGCGACTCAAGGAAGGGATCATCAGCCGAAAGCGGTGGAAAAAAAAAGGGACGTAGGGGGTTCATGTTCAAGGGCTCCTCAACGCATCTCAACGAATGCCGTCCAAGGGGCGAGCAGGCAAATGACGTATTCCGCGCAAAGAAGTCCACAAACTTTGTGGTCAGGTCCCTCGTGCTCTGGGCTGACCTTCGAGTGGAGGGTTAGGGCTGAAGGGCTTGTTGAAAAGTGCGCACACATCCCTGCGAAACACAGTTAGAACAGGACTACCCAAATCTTTCCTATATAGCCAAAGGAGGATTCACGCCAATGCAAGGCATCTGAGCTTGCTCCGCCAAGAACAGCAGGAAGCCAACTCATAACATCATCTCAGCTCAACTCGAGCTTGCAAAGTCAAGGAAACCGTGTAACCGCCGCTGCAAGCCCCTGCCCGGCATACGACAGATTCAGTGGTGCGGATGGAGATGGAGCTGGATCATGTTCATGGCTCCGGTTACCCGACTGCTTGGCAGGATTCTCCAACCGTGGCTTGCTCCGGCCACTATGATATTGTCCAAAGTATCTGAACCTGTGTGAAAGCACCGCCATCCCTTTCTCAACATGTGGCATGGACCGAGTATGTGATATGTGATGGATCAAGACCCTCCTAAGCTGGACGCTTTCGAATCCAACGCCCGTCTCAGCAACTTTCCTCCCGGCGCTGTTCGGCCTACATCCTGAGCCCTAAACCCTACAGCTGGGGATGTTCCCCCTTCTTGACTAACATTCCTTAAGAAGAATTATAACAGGGGGTACTAGAATCCCCTACTAAGGACTGCTAGTATGAGGGGGAAACATCCCAACATCCTAATAGCCATCGCCAAGCCATGCCAATGCCCTACAAGGGACAGGCAAAACAACCATTCCTTGAAAGCTCCCAAACCCTGAACCCTGAACCCTGAACCCTTAACAACCCTGAGAACTCTGAACCCTAAACCCCGAGAAGCTCCCAAACTCTGAACCCCAAACCCTAAAACCCTAGAACCCTAAAACCCTAAAACCATAACCCTAGAACCCCGAAACCCTAAAACCCTATACCCCAGAACCCCTAAACCCCGAAACCCTAAACCCCAGAACCCCGAAACCCCTACACCCCCAGCTCGGCTTCCGCGCTCACTGAGCATCGCGAGTGCTGGGGAACTCCCGGCCATGGCAGCCTCGGCGTGCCCCTGCAGCGCCTGATCAATCGAGGGGCTCTTTTAGCTTCTGTAAAGGCTTTTGGGGTTTAGAGTTTAGGATCTAGGGATTAGGGTTTAGGGTTACGAGAGTTTCGGGTTTAGGGTTACGAGAGTTTCGGGTTCAGGGTGTTGCTGCAAAAGGAGGGGGAGGGGGGAGAGGTTCAACCCGAAGCCCCCAAACCCCTGGGCCTGGGGCTATCAGCCCATTCATGAACCGGACCCTGAGAACAAAGGCCACTTGTCTGCTAAGCCTGAAACCTTTGGCCAACAGGTCGGGACTGAACCCCTAGGAGAAGGAGGGGGCCCTGAATACCTCCCGCCCCCCTCCCCAGACTCTTGGAACCCAAAAAAACGTAGGAGGTTGGAACCCTCTCTGGGCGCCATAAAGTTCTTGTAGATCTGCTGCATGTACTGCACCTGGAAGGCGTTCTAAGGGTTTTTAGCGGTTTCAGGTTTGGGGTTTAGGGTCTAGGGTTTGGGGTCTACAGTTCTGGATGCAGGGTTTTGCAGGGCGAGGGCTGTCTCGGGTTCACGGCTTACGGTTTTGGGTTTAGGGTTTAGGGCTTCGGGTTTCGTTCATGCTTGTCTGTAGGGCTCTATGGCTTTCTGGCATTGTCTGGCATTTGGGGTGGTTTCCAGTTCTATGTAGACAACCTCAAGCCGCTTAAATCTTGGGAGCCCAAACCCTCAAAACCTGCAAGGCCTCAACACGAAACGATCAAACCCGCAAGCCCATGTAACCCAGAATCTGGAGGCCTCAAACACCTAAAACCAGAGAGCCCAAGACCCCTCAACTAAAGGAAAACGCTACACCGCTTAACCCCAAACACACACCAAGTGCTCCAAGGCGCCGCACAGACCTGGTCCAGACGCGGCAGCGCTGGGAATCCTTGGGCTTAGGGGTTTTAGGGTTTAGGGTGCAGAGTTTCAGGCTATAGGGCTTCGGGAGCAGGGTGAGCCGGTAGGAAGACGTATCAGCTCCCAGAAAGTGGATCAGGCACTTGTGGGAGTCAGGGCGGGGTAACTGGATCACAAAAACAACGAACTGGATCAGCACAGCACGAGTCGGATCAACGTATCGGCACTCAAGCCGGAGACATGTGGATCACAGGACGACTGTATCGGATCATGTTGTTTTTATGTCTGAGAACGTACGCCTAGATGATGGCTGCAGGCCGTGCCGATTAGATTTAGAGCCGATCCGATCTTGCAGGGACGGCTTCACTCTGTTGTCTTCCAGCAACGCCAGTGCGAGGGGATCGGGTTTGATGCGGCGTGCGTGTGCCATTTGCCTGGCTTTTCTTTCTTCGCCATTTCATGGACGTTGATAGACTGCGTCGCTTCGCATGCCTCCGAGCCTGTAATATTTTGCCATGCAGTATTGAAAGTCTGGATGGGTTCTTCCTTTTCAAGTTTGTCACGTCCTGCTGCTTGTTTTCGTTCACGACTACTGTCATCCGATTTGGCGCCGTACCTGAGGGCGGAGGGCATGCCAAGCCGATAGTTGCGTGTGCTGTGTATAGAAGGAGCTTGCCATCAGACGGCCTTCTGGCTGCGTCGTTTCTGCAAAGAGATTGGACAGAACTACTTTAGCAAGCTTCCTTAATTCGCATGCCTCAGAGCGTGGAATATGTTTTTCTTGCTCGATGTTTTGTTTCAAGACATTCTGACAAATCTAAGAAGTGGTCACTTAATTTTAAATGACAACCTTTATCTTACTTACTGGCATTTTTACGACAGGCATTCCAAGCCAACCAACCATGGCGTGGCACGTGTATAGGAGGAGCTCGCCGTGGAACCCCCCAGATCGCTTGGAGGAGCTCCCTGGGACCCCCAACCCCCACCCCCCCCCCCCATGTCTTGATTCTTGAGCCGATTGGGGTCGAGGCGATCCGTTTCGCAGAATGGGGTATCCGATCCGGGCCCGGCCAGGCGGATCTGATTCGTTCCTACGTCCGATCTGACTCGCGGAGCTGATTCTGTGGCCTGATTCGGCCTGCTGGGAACCTGATACCTGCAGCTTCCAGGGTGAGCCCTGCACAAGAAACACCCAAAAACAAAGATCAAAAGCGCAAGCCACCGTCGGCGGCTGGCTTGCCCTCAAGAATGTCGACGTGGCCTGCCAAGAATGCCTGAGCTACCACACAGCGACGCATCGAACGTCAGGACTTGAGAGCTCAAGTTTGCGAACCTGCCCCAAGTTCCACCCGCACTGGCCTTTTTGAATCTTTTTCTGCTCAGCTTGTGCGACCCCCAAACTTCAAGCCTTAAGCTCAAACCACATGCTGTCGACCCCAACACAGACCCCAAGGCCTTCAACCCAAACCCTGCACCTAAACCCTCTGAGGCCAAACCATTCCAAGTCACATCTCGCGTGGTGTTGTACATGATGCGGTTGCCTGGCGTTTCTGAAAAAGCCGAACGGCCCCCGTCCCGCCCCCTCCCCACTCCCCGCAGTGGCATGCTAAGCTTATGGCCTTGGAGTTTGGGTTTCGGCGTAGGGACTTCTTCACAGGAAGAGAGGCATTGCCGAATGCCAAACTGTGGGAACGACCCCTTGTGGCCAAGTGTCCCCTTTAATTCTGGGATTGGGCAATCTAAGACCCCCACACAAAACAAAAAACCAAAAAAAAAACATAACACCACCTCTAACTGCTACTGAGGTGCTGTCCGCAGACGAGCCCGCGAAGACCAGGTTGACAAAGGTGACAATCTGGGCGATCATGGTTGACTGCTCACCTGCAACCTGCGGGTACGGGCTTCAGGACTCAAGATGCGCTTGGGTTTTGCTTTCCCCTGCTTTGGGACAGGGCACCTACGATTTGACCATGCGTCATGCAACTTAAGCCGGGCATCCTGCTTCCCAAAGCTTCCGACCCAAGCCATGCCCGCCCCAAAAAAAAAAAACAACACACACAAACCCGCACCCTGAAATCGAAGCGCCGTTTTCAAGCATCAGAGCTTTGGGTTGCCAGGGTCAGCAACTTATCGCTTAAGCCGAACCTGAACCCGTTCCATAAATACCCCCTACAATCCCGCCTGCACGGTAAAGGCACCAAATTCCGGAAAGAGCTGCAGCACGGAGGACATCATCCTCGGGTGGGCCGACACCGGCTTCTGTGGCCGAGGCCGAGTTCAAGGGCTGTAAGACCCATTGACTCCGTCACCTTTTTGCTAGTTGTTACAAAGTTTCATGGACAGAAGGAGATACTCACATGCTGCAAATTGCGTTCCTCGGCAGGGGCCGTGGGGTGGAGGGGTGGTGTTGCGGCGGATCGACGATGGCGATGTTGGCCTGTCCGCTGCCTATCGAGACGCTCAGAAAAGCGACATGCAATTTTAACACAAACCGAGAGTATGCGCCGCTGCCGGTCGGCAGTCTCTACATCGATGACAGCAGCATCGAACACCCGGGACACTGGACCTCGACACGCACCCGCATCGCAGACCTGATGACACAGGACTTGTTGATGACCGCCAGGCACGGTCGCCGTCGAAACGCCTGCCTTCTTTGCCACATCGCGTGCTCGGTTTCCGCCTGAGCGACCCGGCATCGATCAGCGCACCAGCGCAAGCAGCGCCAAGTAGCTCCAGAACGCGATTTCGGTTTCGAACGCCCGCAACGATTCGAGCAGGGCCGCTGCCGCGGCCATGCCGCCCGCCGCGGCCATGCCGCCAGCCGATCAGCAACTGCAGTAGCTGTCGGGAGGTCTCATGAACGCTTCGCATCGACCGCGTCCAGCAGGTTGTCCAGAACCTGGCCGACGCCGAGGCCGTCGATTTCGACATCCAGTACATAAAGCACTAAATCCTACAAGCCTCTGGCTTAGCCGAGGCGGGCGACGAACAGCATTAAAAACATGTGTCGGGGCAGTCCCCCCTCTCCACATGAACATGAAGGACTCCCCACGCGCCACGGATACCCTCCACATCTGCACCCTGAACCCCAAACCCAAAACCCTACGGAACCTAAACCCCAGGCTCAGGCAAGCGTCTTGTCTTTGACGTTTGTCAGCGTGTTGCGAAGGCCCTGGCAGCGCCCATGGGTTTCCAAGATGGCTTCAGCCGTAGGTTCCAAGGCTTTTATTGAGGGGGGGGGGGTGGGCTGTGGCCCTGTGTAGCAGCAACAGAAGGGCATAGGGTTTTTGTTGCTCAGATCTGCTTGGAAGCGTGATTCTAAGCTTAGCCGCTGCGATCTTGATAACCTCCAAATCCAACCCCGAGCTGAAGGCACCTCGGACGCTTGGGCAACCTTGGTGACCGCGACCAAGGAAATCGCAGACGTCGCGCCCACGGCCTCGCCGCCAAAAAAAGTGCTTTCGCGCAATATTTGGGGGGGGGGGGGGGGCTTGCGTAGAATGCCACATTACATACATTAGACATATTAAGCCATCTACCGACAAGCCTGAATCAGCCTGAATCAGCCTGAAAATCCATACCGACCCCGAACTCCTCGGGCTTGGCTTATGCCGAGGTCGGGTTGGGCCGGTGACAGCAAGGAACAATAATACAAGGTCTTCACCCCTGCGCACCACGACAGGTGCTGCAGTGCTCCCCAGGAATGGTTTCAGAATCGGTGAAATCCGCGCTTAAAACAAGCATCATCTTTGAAATTGTTGGGGCTGGGGGATGGAACCACCCACAACATTGACAACCTTGAACCTTGACACAGCCTGGTTCAGCTCCCCCTCGAGCTCCTTGGTGAAGGGCTCTTAGGGCTTCTTAAGGGTTTAGGGCTGAGGGTCAACACCTGCCCCGCCCCCCCCCTCCCGCAAAGAAGAGGTTTAACCCTTTGCAGGGGAGATGAATGCTATTCCTCCATTCCCTAAACCTCACTAAGCCCCACGGTCTAGTGCTCCCTGCAGGTTTGGGGGATGTGGGGTGTGTAGGGCTTGCGCTGGCTCGTGCGCTTAAGGGGGTCTAGTGAATTTAGGATTGGAAGGGTTCGACATAGGGAGCCGCGGACAAAGGAACACGTCCGCGAAGAAAGAAGGTCGCCTACAATGCAATCGGCAAGACATGAACTGGCATGGATTTGGGAGCTTGGACCCCAACAATACAAAATCTATGGGACATCATGCTGGTAGAAGGAAACCCGAGTCCGTCACAGATAGTATAAACCCGACCGGAGTCAGGAGTACGTGTCAGCAGCCAGCCAAGAAGGAAGCACTTTAAACTCTAAACCCTGGACTCTGAAGCCAGTGCATTGTTTTGAACCGCACCCACCCCTGATCCTGAGTGAGTAGGTGGCGTGAGGTGGGTGGGTGGGCGGGTGGGTAGGTGGCTGGGTGGGAGGGAGGCCACCACTGCACGCTGTGGTGTGAAAATAAACTGTCAGCGATTTTATACCTACAACGCACAGACAACACGTGGCGACACGTGACGCGCAAGAACAAGCTGATGTGCCCCGGACTTCTGGCTGTGCCAAGAGTCCCCCCACAGGGAGTTGGCAGCGAGGAGAAGGTCCACCAGCCTCCAAGCACGCAGCGGAGGCTCCACGGGGGTTTTGGGGGGAGCTTCAGGGCAAGATGGGCAGGTAGAGTGTTTAGGGGCTTGAGCTGGGGAAACGGCTTCGGAAGCCACCCCCAGAAAGCTGAGCAAGTACGCGGCTTAGTGATTCTTTGAGTTCTACCCGAAGTCCTAGACCCTACAACAGGGTGGCGAGGCTGTCTTCAGGCTTCGGGCTTAGGGCATCTGGGGTTTACGGGCTTAGGGTCGTGCCAGGCGGCAGCTATTGAGGGTTCTGAAATTCAGAGTGCTAGGGTTTGGGGTTCAGGGAGTCAAGGTGGCACCCCGCGGCCGAGCAGCTCTTGCGTGGGGGGCGCTTCGATGTTCTCGGCTTTGTTGCCTCGGGCTTTGGGGGTTTCGGGGCTTCCGGTTCATGAGTTCTTTGGGAGCTTCGGGACCCAAGACTTGAGCTTGCTGGCGGGTTTTTTTAGTTTAGGCTGCTTCCCAAGCCACCCTGGATGAGATTGGCCATAGTCGTCGACACGGTGTTCAGCTCCACAATGAGGCCGACCGTGCCTCGGTCCGCCACAAGCCCAACCCCCTAAACAGGAAACCCCAAAACTTACCCCTAAACCCCCGGAAACTCAGAGGCATAAGACTCCTAAACCCCGAACACGACACCCTTCACCCAAAAACTCAAGCCAGTCTTGGGGGGCTTCTTTTCGGGATTCGCAAGTCCTCCATGTGTGCCCACACGGACAGAGACGGGTCAACCACCTTGATCCAAAACCCGGGGGCTTTAGGGCGTAGGGTTGACGATTCCGATGCATGGGCCCATGGCCACCCTTCCTGTTGGGCTTATGGTTTGAGGACTCTTAGGACTCTTGATACTTTTAAACCCGAGTTGTTCGGAAACCCGGCTGACTGGGCCGGGATGCTCGCTTGGACACTGACAGCGTTGGAAATTTGCAAGAAGTTGGCGACCGCAAACTGTGCCAAAGTGATGGCCTGGGCCCACTTGGAGGTCTAGGCATTGGTCTTGCTGGGGCTCTATGGAAGATAGCTTAACATGTACCTACCTCGGGACTTTACTTCGCAACAACCCCTTCATGGTCTGCATAAACGGATGAGTTTCAAGCCGATAAGGGGGGGGGGGTGGGGTTGGGGTGGTGCGAAGCTTGGGCATTGCAGCTACCCAGCAAAGCTAGATATCCCCCAAGATCCACAAGACAGGTAGCATTTCCCATGTTCACCAGCAGCAGGCTCCATGACTCCTCCGTCATTGTGGCCGATGGATCACACTCTCCTCAACATCGGTCATCGGTGGACTTTAGGTAGAGGAGAAAGGAACTTTGGGCTCTTCCCCATGCCTTTGAGGATGTGGTCTTGAGTCGAGTGCACTAGGACTCCGAGAAGGCACCCGCTACTGTATCCCTTTTTTTACACCGAACCAAGGGCCGGCAAACACCACGACTGCACGGCTTAGACTGGCGACTACACGACATGTTGGCCCAAGTACAATAAGGAGCCAGACAGCAAGGGGCCTAAACCCTTAACGCTCCGAAGTTCAACCCTGAACCCTCCACCCTTAACTCTTCAAGCCTCAACCCTCAAACCCTTAAGCCCGTCAACCCCAGCAGGACTCAGGCCTTCTGGGCCCGAGGATCAGAACTTGCGATCGCCCTCCTAAACCTCCGAACCGAGTGCATTAAACCCTCAACTTACTGGTTCGTTCGGAAGAAATTTGGGTTTAAGTGGCTTGGGGCTAAGGGGCTTAAGGGCTTACCTCTAACAGAAATTAGGGGCTTGGGAGCTCGGGGCACTCGGGGTTCTGGCTTCCTCCCCAAGTCCACGCCTGGGTCATTCACGTACAGCGACACAGCCGCCACCATCGCTCCGAAGAGAGGGCCGCTCCTGGAGGGTTTTGGGTTGAGGGTTTAGAGTTTGGGGTTGAGTGATGGAGCAAAAAAGCTGCGAAGGCTGGGCTGGAAAGCGCGCAGCTCTGTCCCGAAAGATCTATACCTTTATCCTATCCCACCCCCACGCCATTTCAGGCGGCCAACGCCAGGCTGAGAAGGCCAGAGGTCCCTGAAGCTGTGGTGACGAGGCATTGTCCACCCGCTTTTTTTTTGTCTGCCCAGCGAAGGGGTGGGTGCGGCCCAAGCAGGACGGGTGGGAATTTCAGGTTTAGGGTTTACAACCCTGCCAACCAGAGTACATGTCAAGGAAGTTCAGTCATGGTTGCCATTCTACGGGGGTCAGTAAAACATAACTCTGCTGGTCGCTTGACGTCTGTTCCTGAGAAGCAACCCAGATCGGATGGCCTCTGTAGATCATGAGCTGAAAAAAGAAACGGCTCCGTAATAACATGGAAATACCAAAGAGTGACCATTTTTTAGCGAGCCGGCGCATGATCTGCTCTTCAGCAACCAGGCCCCAGCGTTCAGGGCTTACTGTAGAGTATGAACTAAGGTCGTAGGCAGTTCCGACCATGTGTACACACTTCCCTGAACCCGAGCCTTCAACCCAAGAGCTCAGACAAGGCAAAACCCAAGCCCCAACCCCTATACCCCAGGCAAAAACCCATATGGGCCCATGGGTTCCCCCCCAAAAAAAACGACGAGACAGTCTTCACGGCTCCTCTCGGCGATCTGCGGCGAGAGCTCGAGCGCCACTTGCAGCGCCCTGCATGGAAGGTTTGTGTTGAAGGTGCAGGGCGTTGTTCAGGATTTCTAGGGCTTAGGGCTTAGGGCTTAGGGAACTTAGGGCTTGAGTTCAAGAACTCACAGGGGTTTTGAAAATCAGGCTCGAGGGCCTTCGGGTCGGAGTCTTAAGGCCTTTGGGGACAAAGAACCCTCAGTGGGTAGGGCCCGGCCTCTCAGCCTGAGGGCCCTGAACCCCGAAAAGCCTTCGGGGGCTGCAGCCTCGGGGGGCATATTGAGAAACTTAGGGGTGTGGGGCTTCTGAAGGGTTCAGGGTTTAAGGGCGTAGTGCTTCCGAGCGTCTCGGCAACAGACTGCGCGTTCAAAATCTGGTTGATGAGCGGGCGAAAGAGGCCGAAGTTGTATGAGACCTCGAGCTGTCTCATTGCGGCTCTCAGGGTTTGGGGCCAAGGTGACACGGTTAAGGACTTATGGAGCTTTTGGGGTTCAGGGTACCCTTCATTACAAAAGCATACCTTAAATTCTTGGGGGATGCGTATGCAGTAAGATATGTCGCGGGCTTTGCTGCTCACCCTGCTAAAGTGTGGGTCTTCTCACTTCAAACTTTAGGGTTCACGGCATACGGTTTCGGGTTAGGGGTGTTGTATGCAAGTCCTTGTGGCCCTTGTACTCACCTAAACCCTAACCCTAAACCAAAACCGATGGGCCATCAACCCAAAAGCCACGACGACCTCCCCCACGATACGCGTTTAAGAATTTCGGGTTCAGGGTGCTAGCTTTACTGTTTGGGGCTCCAGCCAGTCGCAGACCGTTTCGATCGCACCAGGTGGGGGAACTGACCCTCTGGACATGAACCCTAAAAGCCCTGCCATTCACCCCAAAAATATATCAGAACCCTTCACAACGTCCTTGTGTAGGGGGGACCGCGGGAACTCGAAACCCCAAGCCCAACACCCAAAAGGCCTGAGGCCTCTGTGGGAACCCCTCAGCGCACCTCCCTCATCTGATGGAGGGTGCACATCTTGTTGAGGGTACTCACGCCTGCAGGATGAACCATGCAGGGGTTTAGTGGGTAGGATCTGGGATGTTTCCCTTTGGACTTACGGTCCTTAATGGGGATGCTGCTACTATAATCCCCATTAAGGATTCTTAGTGTCAGGGGAAGAACATCCCGAGGTAGGATCTCAGTTTCTGGGGGAGTTGAAACTGCACCAAGCCCGGAGTCGAACAAAATTCTGAGGTAACCTTTCGCCCCACGGCTCCAAAAACCCAAAAGCCCCCCCCAAACTCCTGAACTCCTAGCTGCAACAAGAGTTCTGGGACCGCTCTCAAAGAGAGAGCCAGGGTTTTGAGAGGCGGCCCGAAGGGTTCAAAGTATCAACCTCCAAGGGTTTAGGGGCTGAGGGTTTCGAATTCAAGCGCATCCTAAACCCGGACCTTGTGCTTCAGGCTCACATAAGGGGACCCGTTTGAAACCTAAACCCCAATCCCCCCCTGAGTCCTTTCAGGGGCTTGTAGTCTAAAGCTTCTACTGCAGCTCAAAGGACTGGAGGAATTTAGTGTCTAGTGTTCAGGGTGGTCAGAGTTTGGGGATTGCAGTGTCAACCCTTTACGTGGAGTTTTTTTGAGGCTCCGTGCCCGCTGCAGTGACTATAGGGCTTCGTGCTCTGGAGTCTAGAAACCCCATGCGCATCCTGACTCGGCGTTCATAGGGATCTTGGGAATTAGGTGCCCTATATCCCATGAATAGGGACCATAGCGGGGAAATGCGGGGAACAAGATTCCCTCCTACCCCCCATTGCGAATCTGGGAGGAACATCTGCTTGGGGCTGGCGGGTCCGACATGACATGGAGAGAGTGGCGCGGCCTGCCCAGCGCGCGCCGAGAATGATGCCCTCGTGGGACGTGGCGAAAAGATTCCTGGGCCCGGCTTCCTTTAAAGGTTAAGGTTTAGAGTTTCGGGGTACCCTTCTTTGTCGACCAGATTGCTGTACTGAGGCCATGTGTGGGCGAAAAGATCTGATTTGCTTTTCGGGACGACAAGAGCCTTCACTCCGAAGCCTTGTCGGGGTTGACCCGGTCTAGGGCTTCTCGCTCTTCGGGGCTTCAGGGTTTGAGCGGGGTTGTTTACGGATCGGCCCTTAGCTCCGCAGCTCCTGTGGGGAAAGAGGACGAGTGAACCCTAAACCGGGGTTCTTCGGGTTCCAGGCCCGGGTGGGAACCCTCGCTTTTTGGGTACTGTGTCCAGGCAAGGTACTCTCAGGCACAAATAATTGCAATGCGTGTCTTCTGACTTTTCTTCTCCACCGGTTCATCCTCTTGCTTCCTGCAACTGCCTTACGAGCAGACGTGAGAACCAAACCCCAAAAACCTCAGGACTCAGCGTTCGCGGCATATCCTCAGCCGCGGAACCTTCATTACGTACTGACATCGAACACATTATAATCATAATTGAAGCACAGTACTTATCATTAATGCTAACTGGAACTCTGATGACGATAAGGAGTGGATAGCTATTGGCTCAAGCGTCTCGTTGCTCTTGAGGAGCCCGACGTTGGTGGAGACGCTCACGCCTGGAGTCGAGAGGTGCGAAGAAGCCTACTTGTAAAGTTCTCTGAGCTTTGGTCTCATGTGAGGTTATTCAGAAAGAACACAACAGAGATCCTTGTCACACCGATCAGAAGGAAGGAATGATCGAGAGTCGTTGCTTGCAAGCTTTGCAAGTTCTACGAATGGCACCACAGCCCGCCGATTCGGACCCGAGCTTGAGGATGTAAGTGGCTTAGGGGCTCATTGCCGTCGAAGACAGCTTAGGATTTAGGGACTCTTCGGGGTTGAGGGGTTCAGGGCTCAGGGGGACTCTACGGGGTTTAGGCAGGAGTTTCAAGGCTTCAGGGCACCTGAGGCGATGAGGAAGGACTCCTTGCACATCCTGGGGGCACGGAGCTTTTGCCCAGTAAAAGAAAGAGGTGTGGCTGGCTGGTTTCGGGGTCTGGGGCTTGGGGTGCCTGGGAGTTTTGTGGTAAAGTGACACCTTGTTGAGCTTCTTGTTTGGATGGGGACTGGATACAAACCTTTTGTAACAATGTGCCATCACATGTCACCAATTTCATTGATGAGGTTTCGTTGACTTAGCAAGGGAGGTGCTTGCCCAGTATCCGTTGGATAAGCATCCGCTGACGCCCGGCAGTGTCGACGACAAGCCCGTTCCTGGGTCACAGTGCCACAGTGCCACCAAAACCAGGCTCCGCCCGACACCTGTCCCGGAGTCTGCGCTCCCTCCTCAGCCATTCATACCTCTGAACCCTGAACCTTGAACACTCAAGATCCCGAAAGCTCTAAGGCCCTCAAAAACCCCTGAGACCTGAGAAGCTCGACGACCCCTGCCAGGTGCGCGCCCTCTAGACAAGAGCTACCGCAAAAAAAACACCCACATAAGCCCTGTAGCAGGGTCTCAAGGTTTAGGCTTTTACGTGCTTCTCTTACTGATACTGGACGGGCATCGTCTGGGTGCCGGCACTCTTCGCGGCATCTACCAACCTGGCACAGCAAGCCGAGGTTTCGAGGGCTTCGGGATTCAAAGGGCTGAGGGCTTGGGATTTTGAGGGTTTCGGGGGGAGTTCAGGGTGTCGTTAGGGCTTCGGAGTTTCGCGCCTGCCGACGCACACGTTCGACTGCACCTGGGCTCCAGGGTCGTGGAACTCCACCAACCCGCTCTCTGACCCTCACCCCTAAACCGTAAACCCAAAACCCTAAACCTAAACCCTAAACCAAAAAAAAAGATAGAGCTCTGAAACCCAGGTTGGGAGACTCAGGCTTCCGGGTTTAGGGAATTCAGGCGTCAGGTACCAGAAACCTCGACGAGACGCCAGCAGCGGGACGTTCCCCGCCGCAACCGCGTCTAGCACAGCCACGTCCACCTCAAGATTGGGGTTTCGGGGTCTAGGGTGTAGGGTGAAAAGAACGGCCTAGGAATTCCTTTCCCGACCCAGATTGAGGTTGTTGGGGGTCCGAAACCCCCAAAGCCCAAAAGGGGGAGTGGCAAGCCACTCTTGAACTCGGGCTTTGGTTTTACAGCTTAGGGGGGTTTTGGAGGCTGAACCCTAAACCTGAAGTTCGACTCCCTGGGCGTAGAGGTTCAGGGTGCAGAGTTTTGTGTTGAGGGTGTAGGTTTGAGAATGTGTAGGACACTCCAACCCCATTATCCGTGCCAGAGGAGTCTGGCCCACCCACCTTTTGCTAGGATTCAGGCCTGCCAATGAGGTAGAAGGGTTGGGATGTTCCCCCCTATATAAGGGGGAACATCCCAATAGAAGGGGTTTATCTAAGGGGGACCCAAGTTCCCCTGATCGCCGCCGCGGCGGCGTTGCCAAAGCCGTCGCGGACTCCATCGACATTGTCAATGAGCAGCTGGGCAAATGGCCCCCACAAGTCCACGACACCTGCAAGGACAGTGGAGCCAAAGCTCGCAAATACCCTAACACACTACCCCGACCCAAAATAAGCTCAAGCATAGCTTTGTTAAGGGCTCTTTAGGGCTTTATCTGGGAAGGGGATCGAATGCTTTAAGTCCACAATGTCAGAAAGCTTCCGTCTTGTGTTGCCACTGCACTCAAGAGTTCTGGTGCTGCTTGCAGTCTTTCATTTGCACAATGAGGCTGGGCACGTTGCAGAGAGGAGCGACAAAATTCCAGAGCGTTTGCTTCTGGCAAGACTTTCGATCGCTTTTTGTCCATGAAGACTCTCGAGTGCCGTTGGGCCTCTCCTGGTTGGCTAGGCTTCATCTGTAGACACAAGCTAAGCAAAGGGCCCCGCAACTTGTTCTCTTCTTCGAGGTTTCTTTTCCACTCACCACCGGCCTCCAACTCTTGATAGCCACGCCCCACACTCTGATACACAACAGCCCTCTGCATAGCCCAAAACAGAATGACACCCCAAACCAAAGCAATAGGGCTGGGGGTGGGGGTCCTCTAAGCCTTAAGCACCGAGAGCCTAAGCCCCCTGAGCCTTGGAAGGCGGTGCGAACAAGATCTGACTGGGCGCCGAAGATGTTGAGGTCCTCTTGGAGTGCTCTTACGACTGCGCGGTAACACTGCGCGGTAGCAATCCGGAAGACCTACGTTGGAGGCACACATAAGGCCTATGGTCGAAGCCCCAAGTGCATTGGACAAACCCACAGAAGTGGGGGGTTTGCGGCCTTTGTTGGCCTCGTTTGCCTCTTTCCGCTGCACGCTGCACACGCAGAGGATGCTATTACATGTTGGTGGTCGTCTTGTCGTTGTTGGCCGACGTCGTCACGGCTGTCATGTCTGTTGCTGTTGCTGGTGTTTCTTGAGTTACTCTGTGCCAGGGTACCCCCTTACTCTCCCCCCCCAAGCCGGGAAGTCCAACCCCGAAGCCCCCGGCCTCCTGGAACACTGACTAAGGGCTGTTCAGGTTTAAGAGTTTAGGGTTTGAGGGTTTCAGACTTGCATCCCCCCTCAGAACCCGACAAAGGGGTGGGGGGGGAGGGGGGCAAGGAACCTTTTTGGGGGCTTGCTGAAAGCCATTCAGAGCTTTTTGCGGGCTTTGGACCTTTTGGCAAGTTTGCGGTACTCACAAACCCTGGAATTGTAACTACCGTATATACGGATATACATAAAGGAAGGGTCTGGATGCCACGGAAATCGCTTGATTGAGTACTGACGTTGGTGTTCGGGGTCTGTTGGTGATTTGCCCTCCAAACCCGCCTAAAAAGAGGGCAGCCGAAACACCAAGCCAGCTCTTGAGAAAGGAAGAAGAGCATGAGGGGCGGGGGAGGGGGGGGAGGGGGGTCCGGATTGCCGTTGATGAGTGCGTTCAAGGAGACGTTGAACAAGTTGATGCTACCCATCCTCGGCTCCCATGCACACAAAAAAGCAGAAAAGCCCGGCGACAAGCCCTTCAAAACCCCCCCAAAAAAGGCTCAAGTTAACCCTGAACCCCTCAAATCCCTGGCTTAAGACCCCCAGAAATCCTCCCGGACCTTCCGGGTGTAGGGGTTTTTGGCTTCAGGGGCCTTGAAAATCTTAGGGGTTTCAGCCCTGGCCGTAAAAACAGCTAGGAGCTGAGGAGACTCTTCGTGGCTGAGGGGCTTTGGGGCGTTTATGTAGGGGTTGGAATCCACTCAGTGCGGGTGGCGGGCTCAAAGCTGTGGTTTGAGTCGCATCAAGTTATAGCTTGGGTCGTACCGGAGACTGATTACAGTACTTGCGGGCTTGTGGCTCGCTGGAGTCAGCAGAAAGCAGAAGGTACACAAACCCCGGATCCGGATGGTACATGAAAGAGGGCCCGTACGAAGAAAGCTGCCTAAAGCACACGAAGCCACGTGCAAGCCTGGAAGAAGGGAGACTTGGAGGGACTCAAGGGGGCTTTGTTATGGTTCCGCCCGAAGCCCTAAACCCATCCACCCTGAATGCTAACCCCTCCCCACCTAAAACCTAAAGCCTAAACCCGAAACCCTAAACCCTAAACCCTAAACCCTAACACAGGCTGGGCTTCATTCTGGCCTTGTTCCCTTCGGGATCCAGGCCTAGTGAAACCAAGAGGAACTCCTGGCCATCAGAACGAGGCCATTTAGGGCCTATACGGCCTTCAGGGATTTAAGGTTTAGGGTTTCGGGCTTGGGGTTTGGGGGTTTGGGGTTTAGGGTTCGGGGTCTTGTGGAGTTTCACTCCTCCTTTCTCCCTACAAACTCTGCAGAAACACCAAGCCCAGAACAAGATCCCTGAGAGCTGGGCTTCTTCGCAATGAAGCGCACTGATTTTCAATAGGCTCACCCCGAAAGATGCCCAGAGCGAAGTGCTGAAACAGTTTGTTTATATGCATTTGTGTGCCTTACGGTTATCAGTACGAGCGAGGCCGAGAAGCTTTCGCAGTTAGATTGATGGCCGATCGAGAGTCTCTATCGGCGAATTGAGAATCTCAACCAACCCGGGCCCCAAATAAAGAGGGTTTAGGGTTAAGGGGTATAGGGGTTTAGGGGTTTAGGGTTTAGGGTTTAGGGATGATGTCCCGAGAAAATTTCCCGGGCATCTTCAATCTCCAGTACAGGGGCCCATTGAGATGTTCACAACCACAACCGGCGGGGCCCCGAAGAGAGGACGCTTCCACAGTCCATGTGTATAGAAGTAGCTATCCATGTGTCTCTCTCGCTCTCTCTCTCACGCCTCTTCCCGTGCTTGCTTTCAGGACGTCTCTCGCTCGCTCTCCCCCTCCCTCTGTCTCTCTCTCTCTGGCTCGCTCGCTCGCGCGCTCTCTCTGTCTCTCTCTCTCTCTCTGCGCTTCACCTGTATCCCTAACCATGACACCGTACCCAAGAACCAGAAATGAACAAGTGGCTGCCAGCTTTGGCAAAGCCACGTCAGGCTTGAAACTTCGGTCGCCCCCTCACATCTCCCCCACTGTTCCCCCCTGTTCCCATGCTACAACAAGCATCCCTACGGGGCTCCCCTCGGTCCTTTGACATCCGCTGGGTCAGCATCCGTTGCCTTCCGGCGACGTCGATCCTGGTCGATCCCAGCCCCCCATATGGACTTCTTACAAAGAAGGACTGCTAGTACTCAGAACCGATATTAGCATGATTCTTCCTCGTCTTCGTCTGAACTATAGGGCCTTAGCTGGTCTTTAGGTGTTCTGAGGCGGTCTCGGGTTCTCAGGCTTTCCAGGACGCTCCCGAACCCGAAACCCCGACCCTAAAACCTAAGCCCTCAACGGGTTTAGGGATTCAGGTTTTTTGACTCTCTCAAGCCCGGGCACGTCACTCCCCACGAACAGTCGGCGCTGGGCACCAAAACCAAAAAGAGGGCTGCGACGGCAGACCTGCGCAGCAGCTCGGGCTGGGGGACTTAGGAGTTGAAGACTCGAGACTTAGGGTTGAAAGGTTTCGGGGGGTTTAGGCGGTTTAGGCGGTTTAGGCGGTTTAGGGGTTTAGGGGTTTAGGGGTTTAGGGGTTTAGGGGTTTAGGGGTTGAGGGGTTGAGGGGTTTAGGGGTTTAGGGGTTTAGGGGTTTAGGGGTTTAGGGGTTTAGGGGTTTAGGGGTTTAGGGGTTTAGGGGGTTTAGGGGGTTTAGGGGTTTAGGGGCTTCACGCGCATCACTCCCAACATAGGGTATCTTCAAATCTCTTTCATCTTCATTACGAGCAGACCTTGCATCCTAAGGTTTAAGGGTTCAAGGCGTCGGAGTCTGCTGTCCAATAACGTTCATGCATGATCCAGAACACTTTGGCCGCCAGGCAGCCACCAGGGCTATTAGCATCCTTGCCCGGACCTTATACGGTGTATATCTTTGAGCCTACGCCACTCAGTGTGATGGAGGTCTTTTTCACACAAAAAGAGCCCTTTCTTTTGTGAAGTCCAGGCCCGTCATATTGTTATTTTGAGGCGTAGACCTCGCGGCCTCCGGGGATGAGGGGGAGAGCAATGAAAGCGACCGCGCCTCCATCTGCTCCACGTAGACATGGCAGGGGTTCCCCCCGCCTCCCCACCCCACGCGTCACCCCTGTGCGTCACCAGCAAGTGTAAGACCCTGTGGGTGCACACTTAGGTGTTTGAGCCTCAGCCGCCGACGCTGCATGTTTAGAATGTCCCAAAAACACAAAGAATGTCCAGACAGGTGCCCCAGTCTAGGATTCAAAAACACGGGACGCATGTGTAAAACAAATGCATTGAGAACCCGGAAACTCTGAGGCGTAAATGCAAACGCCCAGAGCCTTAGACGAGTCTTACGGTTGGGATGAGCTCCGCATGCTCAGATATCGGTAGTCAGGCCACATGATGTCTCATGATTTCTGACATAAGCCCATTTTCATATTGGTCGCGCTTGACATATCCGCCGAGATGTCTGCTCTGCATGAAGACATCTGTGTAGGCATGCAGCGAATTCAAGCAGGTTGATTGGAGCAGCCGGAACGCAGTGCTGTGCCATTGCACAGACCACGGGCTTTGTGCTTTCGAGTTGCGTGGTGGCCCTCGCAAACATTCTACTATGGGGCCGGGCCGCCACAGGCACATCAGCCAAGCTCAGTTCCTATTAAGTGGCCAGGGCGTAATATGCCAGGGAATGTTGACTCTCTATCTGGGACCTGCACGTCCTTTCCTTTCGCGAACACTCACCTCACTTGATCAAATCAACTAGCAACCCCTCAACAATCCAGAATGCTAGTCTCTTTACACCCCAGAAACAGAGAGTTCTAGACTTTGCAGTGTCTCATGACCACCCCGCCCCACCCCACCCCCTCTCGGGAACTATCCAGAATTTGGTATCATCGGACGAAAGAAGCGAAGAACTGTTCGCATGTCCGACATACTCAGGCTTTCAAGCCATCAGTTCGTATCACTGCAGTCTTCGACTGTACTCCTAAACAGATCAATCAATCATTAATCTGTTTAGTGAGTTTAGTGCCTTTTCGTCTCTTGCTGGGTCAGTCTTGAGATGTCTCAGCTGTAGGTCTACATATCTCTGAGTGCCACACGATGCTTTTCTCTCTCAGCACCTGCCCCAACATGAGCTCGGGAATTCCCAGCCAGGGCAAATCACGGCTGCGGCCAGACCCTGATGTGCTAGACATATGTTCACACCACACAGATGACAATAAAATTTCGGGGACAAGGATTGTGGCTGGGATTTGGGCTTCGGGGTTGATCCGGTCAAGTCCAAGCAGCTGCGCGCGTGCGCGTGCATGCTTGTGGGTGGGTGCGTGAGGGGGTGGGGGAAGCGAACCCCCTTTAGAAGCTGCGACACCCGTCGACATAGTCTGGGACATGACATCTTGAAGTAAAAAATGTATTAACCATAGATCCATAAGCCACGGAAGTACAGAAGCAGCGACAATACATGGAGTCGAGGCGGGTGTCAGGCCTCTCTGCTTCGAATGTACGAAGAACGATACTGTATCCGATAGTGTCATCAATAGCCATGCAACAAGAGCAACAACTTTTGCAATCACGACCACATTCATTCAACAGCAGTACTGTAAGGACTGCCGATTTCTAAGCGTTTAATCAGGTCCTGTGCACGGCGAGAAAGTCTCAGGGCAGCATCAAGACTAGCACTGCGCATAGGAGTGCGGAGAACAAGCAAGAAGATGGAAGATGATTCTACCAAGTTCTCAAGTACCATGCTATGCAAGCTTCGTCGTGTAATGTCCACAGGAACGCACTGCTCTGTGCCCTGCGCTTGCCAGCCATCGGACGATCTTCAGCCCACATCAGCCCACATCGGTCCACATCGGTCCACATCGGTCCACATCGGTCCACATCGGTCCACATCGGCCCACCTGCCCCAGGAGCAAATCGGAACATTCCTGCTACCCCATGTTCTTCTCAGCAAGCGCTTCTTTTGTTCCAAACCTTGCGGTTCCCCTGCTGCTCTCTCCGGCAGGATTGCTGCGGGGAGCTCTTCTCCCGTCAGCGACGCAAACGACGCTAGCGGCAATCATTCTTTCCGGTAATTAGGTCAAAGTTGCAGCAAAATGCTGTGATGGAGCCACCGAAGACCTGGGAGCACTGGAAGCCCGTGACCGGGTCCCCAATGTATGCACCGAAAGGGCAGAATATGGTAGGGACCAGCATGGGCAGGTTGACGGTGCCAAGGACACCGACGCCCACGTAAGCAACGCAGCCAGCAGCGGAGCAGCTGGCGCCCACACCCACTCCGAAACCCGCCCAGGCCGCTTTGTATGTCACACCGATAGCGAAGCCGATGTCAAGCGAGATCCAGGTCACCGGTGGTTGCCCCTTCATGAGGTTGTAGAGCCCCGTTCCCATGTCACCCGCTGTAACACCAGCCCCGAAGGCCACGTTTCCGGGGACGATGTCTTTGGCATAGCCAGTGGTGACGAATTCAAAGATGTCACCGATGCAAGCAAACAACTTGATGATGAACTTGGCTACCTTCACAACGGCCTTCCCGACTGCTTTGGCGGCCTTCTTGACGACTTTGCCGACCTTCTTGAAGAAGCCTTTCCCATGCCGAGTCACCTCCAGGTGATGCTTTTGGGGTCCTATAGGGCTTTTGGGGTTGAAGATTGAAAGCCCGCCACTAATCCCCCATGTGCCTGCTCATCCTCCAGGTCCGCATCTTCGTCCAGCTCCATGTCCCCCGTGTGACTCAGGACAGATGACCTGGAAGGGGGGGGCTCAAGAAGAGAAAAAGCCTGCGCAACCTCAATGCTTCACAAAAAGTTCTCTTTTGGCAAAAGGGCTGTCTGCTCACCAGCAAAGCCCTGGCGGCGTGGGGATCCCCTCGAGCTCGTTTCTGGTCCTCATCTCGGCAAAACTTTCGGTACTCGACCTGATCGAAGGCGACCGTGGCACGCGTCTCGTTCACGCGGGCAATGGCTGAGGAGTAAGGCACCACAAACTCCATCATGGCGTCTTTTCCTCTTCGCCCATACTCCTTCCAAGTTGCCACTGCGGAATGAGACTTGGAATTGTAGTCGAAGAAACGACCGGCTCGCGATTGGGTTTCAGTGTGGATCATTGAGGCCATCCGCTCAGCATGTTCCACCATGAAAGCCTTGACGCGGCGTTCCAGCCCCAGACGCTTCCGGACCTCCGCGCGCACTGTGGTGGCGGAGCCCACCTCTGCCAGTGACATGGTCTGCGCGTGCGAGGCGAAATGAATGTCCCAGAAATTCGAAGGGTCGCAAGAGAGCTTGTGGCAGATCGGCCTCCAAGCATTCTGGATTTGGTCCACCATCGTGTCCATCGAGGCATTTGCGACCTGAGTGCTTCTTTCAATTACTCAAGCTGATCCTCACTGCCAGAGGTGGAGGGAGGGGGCTTTGTGCTTTTAAGAGCGAGCCGCATGGGCATCCAGGAGCTGGTGCGTGAGGTGCGTGGCGCTTGCCATGGCCGATGAGATGGAGAGGGTGGAGGACAAGTCTTCTTGGAGCAGGCTCGCTTGGAAGGTCTGCGTCTCACCGAAACTGTTACAGGAATACTTCTCCGGGATCGGCGTGTCCAGGGTCAAGTGGACCGACGTCCCTTCGATTGCGATCTGCCTGGGGCTGTCTTTTCGAACCCACACCCCAAAGGTAGCAGTGAGTCCCTCAGAGCCGTAATTTTCCGCCTGGGCCTCAAGAATCCAGAAGCCCTTGCCCTTTCGTATCCTAAACCCCCCAGGGCCTCTCCAGGATCGGCCAGGTCTGCTCCTCGAACCGGTCTAGCATCTCCAGGTAGGAGGTGTACATCGACATATCGATGTACTCTGGCACATCACGCGAGAGCAAGCAGAGGCCAATACCCACACAGCCCCGGAGGTGTGGCAGGGATTTTTCTGGGCAGTACACAGGCCCATCCCCGCCGTCCATGCTGGCGTGGAGCACCGTGTAGTAGCCGCTGACTTTGTCGAAGAGCATCTCCAGGTCCTCGTACTGGGACTCACCGACGGGCAGCGTGATGTTCCCGGAGTGGACGTCCCTTCCGCTGAGGAGGCCTCAGTTCTCTACGAAACTCTGTCCATATGAATCCAAAAGCTCTATGACTTCTTTGGCTCTCTCTTCTTGTTCTTCTTCTGCAGGGCATGTGGGGGGTGTCCCCCGCGCAAAAGGCGCGCCCCAGGATGAGTCAGGTCTGGGTGAGATTGCTGCAACGGACTGTCTCTCTCTCTCTCTCTCTTTAGGCGAGGAGGCTTGTGCAGTTGCTGATGTTGCTGATCGCGACCGGGAAGGCGATCGCAAGGTCGGCGAAGTTGCCGAAATCCTGGGGCTCCGTGTCATCGATGTTGAAGTCCTCTTCTTCGTCGTCTTCGACGAATGAGGTCTTGAAGGCCCACACCACGCCAAAAAGGGAGAGAAGGGGAAGATAACGAACAAGCTTCATTGAAAGCGAAGACTTTGGTTTTTATCAAGGGCAGTGCAAAAGCAACCCAACGGCTGCCAAGCAAGGCTGCTGCCCTATGGCTCTTGCGGGGACGGTGCAAGAGCTCGAGTGAAATCGGCTGCAGCATGGAGCAGACATGCGCAGCTGACAGCTGTGCCTTGTGCCTAAGCTGAAACTCTAAAGTTCGACAAGCCTTCAAATGATCTCAAATGTGTTGGTGGAGCGGGAGCCAGAGCTGTCGCTCTGCTAAGGTTCTGGAGGAAAACTGGTGATCCTCGCGGGTGTTTCGATGTGTTTCGGGTTGAGGTTGGAGAGAAGGGGTCACACAGAAAAGCCAGCACAAAATAAGCTCTTCTTCTCTCTGGCCTCCACACTGAAGCAGCTGCAGCTTTTGCCGATCTTCTCCGAGCACATGGCGCTGCAGATCTCAGCCACCGGCACCTCTTTGCCAGACTCAAAATTCGCGGTGATGGTTCAAGGGCTCCCAACAAGCATCCTTCAGACTAAGCTTTCTGGCAGGTACGGCAGAGAGGAGCCTGAAATCGCTTAAAAACGAAGTTCCAATTCCCACGAAAGACTGCCTGGCAGAGGTCGGTCTCACTATCACCCGGGCAAAGTTCCCCTGGTGCCTGTGGAGCTCACAATAGACCACGGATGCAATTGACACCTCAGCTGGGCAGTTCTCATTTTTGTGAAGTCTCACGTGTCATGTGTGTGATAAAAGGGCCTCAGACCGGTCTACTCCAAAAACATGGGCTACGCCTCGACGTTTGTTCCTGTGACTCGTCTATCTTCTCCTTTGTCACCTCACTGGCCCTCTGGACTGGGCCTTCTGGCGTGCTGAAGGAATAAGACCTGTCCCAACTGCAACCAAAACATACAGCCCACATTGCAGAAGAAGCACTAGCTGCACCTGCTGATGCGTCACCCGCTTCCTCTCCGTGGTGTCTGCTGCCTTGACAACAGTACAGCTGGCCCTGTGTCATACGTGACTCGACAGAACAACACTTAACGGAAGGCGCCAGAACAGCGGCACATCTAGACTTCAGTCCAGAAATTCCAAGCTTGGGTACAGAGCAAAGTGGTAATTGAATGAAGTGTTTCTGGCCTCGTCCCCCCGTAACGCCCCCCCAATTCACACACCCTCAACCCACAAAACTCAAAAAACAACATCGGAACCCAACATTTGCTTGCCCTCATATGCCTCACTTGCAACAAAGACTTCTGAACAGGATGAGAGGCAACAGCTGTTTTGTCTTTTTTGACCATTCAGCTGCGTTTTTGCCACGATGTGTGGTGCTGTCTGAAGTAAGACCCGGACAGCTGGAACACATCTGCACGCGGTTGTTTCTCGCACTCCAAATCCAAAACACCCGCTGGCCCAGCGTTGGATGGGAACTTTCACGAATTTAAACAAAAGAGCACGGCGATTTGCTTCTCAAATTGCAGACCTCAAATATATGCAGGCTACTGCAAGGCCACTGCCCTCCAAGCGACTCATGCCGCGCAGTGCCGAAGCGTTAACCAACAAGTATTCCTCTCCGATGCCATGCACATCTTGCAAGTCCATTTAACATGGATTCTTCCAAGAGTTCTGAGGATTGCTGTCTTCAAATGCCTCCTTCTATCTGCTGTAACCTACACTTGAACCTGAAAAGACGAAAATCAACTGGGGCCGTCGCTGTGCTAAACGTCAGTTGGAACTCTGCAACGACCATCTGAAAAAATTGCGAAAACATGTCTGCAACTGCGTCGGAAAAAGCACGTGCAAACCACAGAATCACGTTTCACACATGTCCACAATTAATGTGTCAAATTCATCAAGGGAATGCAAACTTTTATAAAAATGGGAAGTTTTGACGAAACTTGCTTGGACTGATGCCACTCAAACACAATGCACTTGCAAAGACACTTGCAAAGAGCACTTGACCAAACATGCTTCGCAAAAGAGACTCCAAGGGCAGACAAGCCACTTCAAACACACCCGAAAAGCAACCTCCTCCAAAACACCTAAAACAACAACGAAAAAACACCTTTGTTTGTCCACCCCTGCGCTGAGGCCAAGTGGACGCTCGGTCTAAGTTCAGGTGTCGTCTTCATACAGCCGATAGATTGTGATTTAGGTGCGAAAAATCAGTTGTTCAGAAGCGACCCAATGGCTGCAATTTCTGCTCAACCATGGAAACACAGCCCCAAAAGCCCTAACGCTCTCAATTTCGCTCGAAGATCCTGAAACTCCGCATCCAGACAAAACCACGGAATTGCAGGCTGGCGGCTAACACCACTCGAACACCCAGAGTGGTTGCACCAGATACAAGGTGGAGGCAATTGATCATAAGGATCAGAGACAACAGAAACCACACAGAATCGGTTGAGAGGGTTTTACGCTTCATCGCTGCCTCCTGCCTCGAATCGGGGAATTGCAGACCTACGAAGTGAATGCATCAAAGTTCTCTTGGTAGAAGCAAAGCCGCACCTGACGGACCTGCCACTACCGTATCATGAGCTGGGCCCCACGATGAAACTTGTGCTGGACATGTGGCTCCCCCACCTGCCACTTGAGCGCCTAGTTGGCTACCAGTTCTTAGCCATGGCCTCTGAGGCAGAAATTGAGAAGGAGCCTTCGGAGCAATACCATTACCCAGAGCAAGCAGCAGTAAAGCGTGCCGACACACCTGTGGCGGTTAAGCCAGGCACTCATACCTGGTCGATCTGCCTGCTTCACCGAGTCTGTCCAAAGGCGTCAGTCATCCTTCTCACACCTGAGTTAATTGATGTCCCTGAATGGAGTAGACTTTGGTTTTGCGGTTGCTGGCAAGTCCCCGCCAAAGGTACTGCCTTGCTGGTTACCTTGCGAGAGGGTGGTGGGGATGTGGCATACCCTGGTGTGTTCATTAAGCTCCTATTCCCTAAAAAGCTCCGAGCAAGGTTCGGGGGGGGGGGGTTCGAATTTTTTCCGAGTTGAGCGAACAAATGCGATCCACCTTCTTGGTGTTTGGGTTGTGAAAACCGTGCCTCTGTACCGGCACATCTGATGGCCCTCTTGGCCCTATAGTACAGGGGGAGGAAAACACCTCCTCCTAAGCTACCATCCTCTTTGGGATGCTACCAGAGGTTGTACCTCATGAGAGGATTGAACCTCCTGGCAAAACATTCCTCAAGGTTTCTGGTGCACTAGGTGCAAACCGTGAGAGGAAATCGGCCAGGGGTGTGTTCTCTGGCAGCGAGGATGAACCTCAGCTTATCATCCTCTTTGGGATGCTACCAGAGGCTGGTACCTCATGAGAGGTTAGGAACCTCCTGACAAAAAGTTCCCTCAAGGCCGCTGGTGCACCTGGCGCAGGCTGTTAGAGGGGATCGGTCAGGAGTGGCTTCTCTGGTAGCGAGGATGACCTTCACTTTATCCTCACTGGGAGGATGCAACCTCCTAGGTTGCTTCAGCTGCCGGTGCCTTCAGGGATTTTGCACAGGGGGTCTGCTTGCTGCAACTTGGGCTGTCCCTTGCACCTGCTGAAAGAGGCTGCGGATGGCATTGGTTGGCTCGGGCTTAAACTGCGCCTTGCACCTGGGGTCCTTTTTAAAACTGCATGCAACTGAAAGTTTTTGCGAAACATTTTTAGTCTTCAAGGACAACTGTCCACCACAACCTTCGCAGACCCACAGTTGTCTGTTCCCGAGCAGTTTTAAAACATGTGTAACATGTACCCCTTCAACCGTCACTCTGCCTTGGTGTGTGCATTGGTGCGCTGCCAGTGCTTCCAAGGTTTTGCGGTTCTTTGTGTGCAGGAGTTTAAGTTGACACTGAGCACACCGGAGGTTGAGACCTTCCCATTCCCACGCATGCACAGGTTTGGTCCGGACCAGCTCCTGGAACCATTCCTGTTGGGTGGTGATGTGGCCTCTCCCTATGTTGGAGCCAATGCGCTTTTTGCAGGGCCTGGAGGTGGCCTCGTTGCTCTTGCGAGCCTGCTTTTCCTGCAGGAAGACCTTATACACTGGGTGCTGATTTTCCCCAATGGCAGTAAGGACCTTTTCCGCCCTGCTCGCCAGGAATTCTTGTGCTTTTTTGCTGCAATGGTCCTGGTACTGACTGGCTGCCCGGACATCAGGGTGGGCCAGCTCGGCCGCTTTTTCCCCACACAGCTTGTCCGCCAGGTCATTGACCTGCTGTCTCCACGAGTTTTCCGCACCCACCTTCCGGAGGAACTCCTCCTCTGAAACATGGGATGGAACCCATTTCATTTTGAGGCGGTTGACATCAGTGGTTTGCAGCTCCCACCAGATGTCACCGTGGGTCTTGCCCGGCTTTGGGCTGCGGACTCGTTTTGGGACACCAAGGCAGTCGAGTGTCGTGTCAATAGGGCCTTCGGTATAACGGGCCAGCTGCAGAACGGCATACAGCTCCCCCCGAAAAACCGTCTGTGGTCCAGGGACTTGGCCTACGATTGCTCCTACCTGGACGTATTCTTGGCATACACAAGCTCCGGGTCATTGAGGGCCTCTTTGTTTGCCCATATACCCAGAAAGATGGGATTGTCCTCCTGTGGAGGCTGTACCTCCCATTTGGGTTTGGGCGGGAGGCCCCTGGTCCACACTGATCTCGGGCCTTGGGCCCTGCCTTCTTGGAACCATGTTGGCAACTCCCAGTTTTGGGCCTCCCACCAGGCACAATCCAGGAGGACATGCTCCCAATCTGCTTCCTCGTGGCATCGGGGGCACACTTTGACAGCAGAGTTTTGGCTGCAAACCAAGGCACCCTGCCAGACGCACCTCAAGGCAGCTGCTTTCGTGGTTCGACCTTCTTTCTTGAACTCCCCCAGCAATTTCCTCCCTACCGTCCAGTCGACTCCCTCCTGTAGCTCAGGGGCAGCAATACCAGTGGCGATGCGGTGGTTCACCTCCTTCTGGTAGGTTTGCTGGAGGAGGTCTAAGTCGGCCTCAGTGGCCCCAAATTCTTTCCCGCGTCTTTGCTAGATGATAGCGACATGACGCAAACCCCA